ATGTCTGCTAGATGCGAGGCATTAGCCTTATGACTGTGGATACAAATATAGAAGTGAGATAATGTCATGATATAGGTTTAGGAAGGTTCATAATGCCAAAATCCAGTTCAAGGAAACACAAAGCAAACAAAAGGACAGGAAAGCAAGTCAGTTTTATTGAGGGGACATACTTAATACAAAATGAAGAACAGTCATGGTGTAAACTGATCCAACATGCTGGAAGTACCCAAGTCCAGAGATGCCTGGTGGGTTTTGATAAGGTTAATATCTGGGTTCAGCAGGACCAAGCACTGGGGGAAGGCAGCAAGGAGCCTGGACCTGGGACCGATGTTGATTCATGCTAATAGGTGGGGAGTAGCAAGTGAAGTAAGATTCCTGTAGAATTGGTGGCTAGTTAATATTCAAACTTCCTGCCATCAGGGAAAGGGTTTTTGGTTGTTAGTGGAAGCAGCTTGGTATTGCAGTGGGCAAAATGTTGGACCTGGTGTCAGGTAGACCTGAGTTCAAATCTAGCCTCAGACACTTACTGAGTGACCCTGGGCAAGTCATTTAGCCTCTGTCTGACTCATTTTGCTCATCTAACAAATGGGGGTAGTAATAGCACCTACTTCACAGGTTGTTGTGTGGATCAAGTGAAATAACATATGTAAAGCACTTTGCAAAACTTAAATCTCTGTATAAATGCTAGCTATTGTTATTGTTATTATTATTATTACGGCTTGTCTTACTATGGTAGGGTGACTCAAGGATTTTGAGCTTTCCTCAGGCCTTCATTTAGCAAGGTAGGGAGGTTACTGTCCCTGACCTTGGGGAGCTCATATTCAATTAGGCCCCCAAATATATCAGAAAATTTAAGGAAATAGAGTAGCCAACCTAAGAAAGTTCTGGTTCTCACAGGAAGTTCCATCCAGTGGAGACTCTCAGACATTAACAAGGTTCATTCAGAACACAACCCCTTTTCTTCCTCTCAGCTGCAGGATGGTTTGGATCTACTTTGCAGTCAAGTGGACTTTCTGATTACAGTCTTTGTTTTTGCTTCAATTCAATTGTATAAACACATACTAGTATGTCTAAAACACTGTCCTTGGTGCTGGAAATACAAAAGCACCGCCATGCCTTTGCCTTGGTATGAAATCTCCTGAGCTTCTGTCAAAGTACCTGAAAAACTATGCAGAATGTTAGTTTCTTTTGAAAAGGTCTTACACTTTTTACTTCATATTTTGTACAGAAAAACTAACAGATTTGGATGAAAGAAGTACCTATTAAAACATAGTTCATTAGAAAATATTTGTGGTGGCCCAGCCTCCATTAAAGTCCTGCTCTGATATGCCTCATCATAGTGTGAGAGTGACTCCAAGTCCTGGCAGATTATACCCATAGAGCCTCAGCTCTGGCAGGTTCTACCCTGTCAATAGTGTGTGTCAATTGAAGACTGACTTGATTGAGTGTGTGGAGGCTTTTTACCAGAAACTTGGCTACCAGGGGTTGAAATATTTTTGGCCATGACAACTAATGAACCCATCTACTAAGGAGCTGAGGTAAGAGCTTGCCATCTGAGTCAGCAGAAAGAGTATCTATCCAGATGAAGCCATGCATTTCAGATTGATTAAAGTATAGATACTGAATATTGGTACTTGATTAAATTCACGTATCATTTTAGTGTTTCCCCTTGAGAAGGTGTGTCTCCTGAGGACAAGGACTGTGTCTCCTTTATTCATGTATGAACTCTGGAATTGATATGTTATCATGAATGGGAAAGGAATAGAGGCTAAAAATTTGAGATAATAATAATGATATTGATTGCTAGCATTAGCATTTATATAGTACTGTAAAATTTGAAAAGCATTTTATATGTGTTATTTCATTTGATCACATAAAAATTTAAGGCATTTTAAATATATGCTATGCATTTATATGTATGCCAGTGCTAATAATATCTCACATTTATGTAGTCCTTTAAAAGAGCTTTACATATATTATCATCTTTGATCCTCTTAGAACCTATTGAGGAGATGTGATAATTATTATCCACATTTTACAAATAAAGAAATTGAGAGGTTAAATGATTTGTGTAAAATGACCTTACTGCTAAGTAGAAGAGCCCTGATTCAGTGCGGGTCTTCTGCCTCCAAACACTGAGCTCCTTCTACCACATTATAACATGATTTATTTCATCCTCTTATCTCTGTGTCAGGATTGCCTATTGCCTTTGTCTAGAACAGGGGTTCTTAATCTGGGGGGTTCACAAACTCTGATGGAGTCAGTGGATAGATTTCAAGCTATCCATGAATTAGGATAGGAAAAATAATTGCATCTTTGTTTTTACTAACCTCTAGCCAAAATTTATTATTGATGCTAATAATAAAAAATAACAATAACAATAGCATCTCCTCTCATTTTTCTGAGAAAAGTTATATAACCTTCACCAAGCTGTCAAAAAGGTGACACAAGAGCCCTGAATCTAGAAGGTTTATCTTGCTAGCCATCTTCAATTTTATTCCAACTAATTGTTTGCCGTAGACTAGGCCTTAACTATGTTGTTCAGTCGTTTCAGTCCTGTCTGTCTCTGTGTGACCCCATTTGTGGTTTTCTTGGCAAAGATATTGGAGCGGCTTTCTATTTCTGTCTCCAGGTCATTTTACAGATGAAAAAACTGAGGCAAATGGGATTAAGTGACTTGCCCGGGGTCAAATAGCTATTAAGTGTCTGAAGCCGTATTTGAACTCCAGAAGATGAGTCTTCCTGACTCCAGGCTGGCATTCTATCCACTGTGCCACCTAGATGCCTAGGCTTTAACTAGAGAAGAGAAATCAAGGGTTTGCTCCAAGGGACTGAAGTTTAAAAAGTGTAAAAATTTAGCGTTATTTCAGCAACAAGGAAAGAAGTGACTTTAGAGCCTCCATAGTATCACTACCTCCTCTTATGGAGTTACTATAGTAGCTAAATTTTCAATCAACCAGATTTTGTCTTGATTATTGATGTTATTGCTTTGACATCATGAATTACAATGTTAATTTAAGGACATATTTCATACTGCTTACCTTGGAGATTAAAATTGCCAGGTGTGGCTCTCCCCCTTTGTGGTGACACAGAAACATGTGTATGTGTTACAGTTACACCATTTACATTGGGCAAGTTTGGTGGATTCTTGAAGGCTAAGCTATATGCATGAAAACCTTCAAGATATGATAATCATTTAGTCTTCTTTCTTATAACTATCATGAAGCTCATTGATGGAACTCCGGAAAAGGAGTTGCCCACTAGGATGCTATGTTTAAAAATATTGCTATTATTATCTCCATTTTACAAATGAGGAAACAGAGGCAAACAAAGGTTAAGAGACTTGCCTGGTGTCACATAGCTAGTGTCTAAGGTCATATTTGAACTCAGATCTTCCTGACTCCAGGCCCAGAACTCTATCCACTGAGCCATCTAGCTGCCAAAGCATCTTATTAGAATTATCTGTAAAATATGTATAAATAAGCTCTGAATTGCCTAGAATACTCTCCTATGAACTTTAATTAGTGCACAAGTATTTGGTTGCTCATTCTTTTTTCATTCCTGGTTCTAGTCTGTCTTCCATTTTGGTGACGTTGACAAATAGAAGAGTTTTAGATAGGTGAACTTTTATGATACTGTTGCATGGCATAGATAGACAGCTAGCCTCTAATGCAGGAAGACGTGGGATCAAGTCCTGCTTCTGATACATAACTGTCTATGTGACCCTGGGAAAGGCACTTAACCTCTTTGTGCTCCAGGCATATCTGAAAGACTAAGTTATAGAGAAAGTGCTAGCCTGGGATAAGTTACTTACCTGGGAGTTCCCTGTATCAATGAAATCACGGATCCAGTCCCTATCCCCCTTATCTCTGTACCAGACTCTTCAGGTACCTTCATGTATAAGTAATGACAAAAGTGGCTTGAGAGTCATGTTTTGTAAATGCTACTAGCCTAGGCTTTATTGTTGGTGAGTCGTTTTCAGTTGCATTGGAATTTTCATGACCCCATTTGAGGTTTTCTTGACAGAGATACTGGAATGGTTTGTCATTTCCTTCTCCAGCTCATTTTACAGATAAGGAAACTGAGGCAAACAGAATTAAGTGACTTGTCCAGGGTCACACAGCTAGTAAATGTCTAAGGCCAAATTTGAACTTAGGGGCTCGAGTCTTTTCCAGACCCAGCCCTCTATCCCCTGAGCCACCCAGCTGCCTGTGCAGATAGCCTGGGGCAAAATTGTAGAATAGGTAAAGTCTTAATGGGGCAAAGATGCCAGAGGGTTCTTGGTCATGTTAATGACCTTCAGGAGAAGGGTACCATCTGTAGCACCTCTAGTTTTATTGTCTAATCTGATAGTAAAAATAACCAGTACTTTTATAGTACTTTAAAGTTTGGTTTACTTATTTGTAACAAGGACATGAACTATAATGACCTTACAAACATTTATACAGAGACAGATGATTCAGGGATAACTCCTACCTCAGTAACAATTTCCTGCTCATTAAAGTATAATCGATTTCATGTTTGTGGTGTTAATTATTTATAATGAATTTATATTCAAAACTGTTGCTGTCCTTTGCAAGTCATATCTTTCTACCTGGCAAGTAAGTCATGTATGTGTGTGTGTTTGTGTTTATATATGTATACATAAATCTATTTATATTTTGTACATGTATTTGTTTTTTATATATACATATATAAACATACACACGTGCATGTATAGACATATGTGTTATGCAAATATAATGCAGTTTGAGGAGAGGAATAACACTAAAACAACTCCAGGAGGGAGTGGAACATACAATTAGCCTTGAAATCTTATGAAAGGCAGAGTTGAAAATAGATGGTTGGGTGTACATGTATTTAAAAATTGATTTAGATATGGTATTTATTTTAAGCCTCTTCAAAAGATTTGTTTACTAGAAATTGATGGGATTATAAATCAGTAATGAATGGTTAATATATATTTTAACACTTTTTAAATTCTTTTTTTTTTATCCTAGGCTGACCAGATATCTGGCTTTCATATAAGATCTGTGCTCTGTGTCCCTATTTGGAACAGCAATCACCAAATAATTGGTAAGATACTGACATAAGTAGGATAATATTGTTCTGGAATCAAGTATTCTTCCTTTAAAGTTGGTTGGTATTATTGGTTCTTCCCTTTTTGAGCTCCAGAGTTCACCAATCTGAGTCTTATCCCATCTCACATTTTCATTCAGACTCCATGTAAGGAGTTCATGCTTCTTTCTGAGGAAATTAAGTGTTTGTCCATTCATTTATCAGCAAATATTTATTGAGGGCAAGGCAGAAATTCTTCATATACTGAAAATGCAGGGAAATAAGAGACATGCTGAATTAGTGCTATACCAGTAAGCATTTAGGTTTTTGCCAAAAAAAGTTGGATAGCCCACATATTCCTAAAGAAAGAGGGCACAGTAGCAGTCAGCTACTAATCTCTACATTCAGATGTACTCCTAATCTACTTGGCTAGACAGTCCTGCCTCTGGAAATCTCATCTGAGAAATCACCAAGCCTGGGAAGCCTAGTGATGGTACAGGGGCCACAACTGAACAAAAGCACTCATAAGATTCTTCAAACTAGTGCTAAAAGGGAGATATTGTTCTCTGGGAGTAATAGGGATTTTTCTTTTTTAAAAATCTCTAATTTCTAACTGTATAACTCTCTTACCCTGGGCAGCTGTTTTCCTCTTGGAGATTTCCATAAAATTTCCTCATTAAGCTCCAGGGGACTGACTGGTGCTAGCAATGGAATTCCATATTCTGACAATTAGTGCTTAGACCTAAATTTGAAAATAGATTTTCTCATTCATTTACTCAACAGAATCAAGTGTCTATCAGTACTATGAATACATCACATCACTAATACAAAACACTGAACAAGATCATTCTAGACAGCTAATTATGTTGACAGGTTACAGAATGTAGCACACTGAACCAAGACAAATAACCAAGTATTTTTTCCTATGTTGTGAAATCATATCATTTTAAATCAATAATGTATTTGTAGTTATTTCTAAATTGGAGCTGTAGTTTACCTAAACGTGGGATGCCTGAAGTTTTTCATTTAACCCCCAAGTTCCTAGCAGTATTTCGTGGACTTAATGTTTCTAAAGGTGTAAGTCATTTTCTGCAGGGCAGCTAAGTGGCACAATGGATCGAGTGCCAAGAGTCAGGAAGATTTATCTTCCTGAGTTCAAATCTGGCCTCAGATACTTACTAGCTGTGTGACCCTGGGCAAGTCACTTAATCCTGTTTACCTCAGTTTCCTCATCTGTAAAATGAGCTGAAAAAGAAAGTGGCAAGCCACTTCAGTATCTTTGCCAAGAAAACCCCAAATAGGTCACAAAGAATCTAACAACAAGAACTTTCTGATGGTAAGTTCAGTGATATGCAATATGTAGTCATTCTTGTGGATCACTAAGAGTAGAGTGTCATTTATCTACTGACCTCTGCCTTAGTTTTGTAGGAGGCCAGGGTTCTGTGGTTTGCTTGCTTGTAGGTTTAAGGTACACTTTTGTCTTGTTTCTCATGTCATGGAACACTTGGTATGGTATTGGGGGTGAACTTTCAGGTAAGGGAGCAAACTTAAATCTAAATCAAATAAGGGAGGGGACTGAAGCATTGCTTTACCAATAATGGCATTGGAGATTGGGACTAACTCAGGGTAGTGTGAGGCACAAATGAGATATTGGGTATAAAGCACTTTGCAAACCTTAAAGTGATACATGAATACCAGCCATCATCATCATCTTCATCATCATCATCATCATTATTATTTTTATTTGCCTGCAGTCACCAGACCTACAGTCTTGTAATGACTTCGTTCTCTGGGCCTTGTACTACACTCCTAAGCTCAAACATTGTTTATAAAGCAATATGGAGATATTCTAGTAAATGTTTAACTCACTTGGGCTCACTTGGGAAAAGAAATAGATATACACAAATTTTTAAATTTGATTCTGCATTATTAATACTTTCTTAAGTCTAGACAATCAATAAAACAATAAATCAAGCCCTGATTTATAGTGATTGCCATAAAGGTTTAAATACTTACACTGAAAATGTAAGCATGTTAGAGCCCACATCCCTGGGCTAACTCCTGCCTTCTAGGTTAACATTGTATAACAGACTTTTGTTGTACATCTGTATGTTTCAGAGACGTGCTTTGACCTTGAGTATATCTACACAAAAACCAACCATGCTGGAACAGACTTCTAGTGCTTATAGATCCTGATGACATGTGTTCAGGGAACCCTAAGGATGTTTTGTGTCTCTTTAGACTTCAGTGGAGCTCAGTCTGAAAACCATTGCTGCAGAAGCCTCAATGGGACCATTTGCCTCTCTAAGACCTTTTTTTTTGATAAGGTGCTCACATGGGCAGCATTTAAATGAAGCATTCAAGTATGTTTCAGTGTCTCAGGATAGACATGGGCTAGACCCCGCTATGTATTTTGGCAATACTTGGCTTTCTGTGTTTGATATTAACAACATGGTGTGAACTCTTTCAACAGGGGTTGCTCAAGTCTTAAATAGACTCGATGGGAAACCTTTTGATGATGCTGATCAACGACTTTTCGAGGTACAGAAGGAGCTTTGTAAACTGTTGGGGGGCTGTGAATGATCCAAACATAATTGTACTTGTGCCAAAGTTCTTTCAGAAACTGAAGTTAGTCGGGTCAGAGCATTATTGATGCTGGGATTTGCTTATCTGGATTTAGTACAATCCCTGTACATTCCATCTCTGCCAGGTATGGCCAGTTTCTCATAGTGGCTTTATCAGGTATGGTCTGGCTCTGTTGGGATTATCACCTGTCTCAGAACAACTGTAGAAAAGCACCAGGAGCAGTGGTATGATCATGATTCTATGGTCAAGTTTATTTGACAATAGTGTGCATGCCTACTTCCTATTTAATTCAATCTAATATACTCCAAAAAGCATATAACAAGTTTTTACTATGTGAACAGCATTGTGCTGCCATCAGAGAAATAGAAACAAATGGAGAAACCATCCATTTCTCTAAGAAGCTTACATTCCACCACTCCAGCATCTCTCCTCTTAACTTAATATTTCAGCATGCCCTCTTGTTGGAGGGAGTGTGTGTGTGTGTGTGTGTGTGTGTGTGTGTGTGTGTGTGTGTATACACAGTGGTTTGAGTGCTGGACTTGGAGGCGTGAAGACCTGAATTTGAATCCATCCTTAGACACTAGCTGTATGACCCTGGGTAAATCATATAACCTTTATCTACCTCAGTTTCTTCATCTATATAAAGGGGATAATACCCACACCTATCTCATAGGATTGTTATGGGGATTAAGTGAGAAAGCACTTGTCTAAAGCTGTGCTTGCCCTGCTGGCTATTTTTCCTCTCCACTGTGGGCCACTGGTACTTGCTGAACCCTCCCAGTCTTGGCTCTTTGCTATGATCAGCAGTTTCTAACTTCTCACATCCTAGAATTGAAAATGACATTTATACATTTATATCTTCAAAGCTTTTTGTTTGGAAAATCCTCTATAGTTACCTGAAGGTTATTCTTTCCATAGACTGTAGGAAGTAGTTCAAGACACATCACATTGGTGGGGTCTTGATTCACTCATGACCACACAAACCCCATAAGGACAGATCTCAGGCACTTACTATCTGTGTGACCCTGGACAAGTCACTTAACCTCTGTTTGCCTCAGTTTACTCAATTATAAAATGAGGATCATAACAGCATCTACCTTAAAGGATTGTTGCGAGGATCAGATGAGAAATGTATAAAGCACCCAGCACATAACAGGTGCTATATAAATGCTTATTCCCTTCCTTACTCCCTCCCTGTGCCAAGTTGTGTAAGTTAATTAACCTCTCAGTGCCCCTAGGAAACTGTTTAAGACTTAAAATTGCACAACAATTAGATATTTCTATTGGTGAAAGGGATTTCTTCATTGGGAGTTCCTTACCCTAGTGAACTCACAGTTCTAAACCAAGAAAAAATAAATTCATACTTGTCCCTGAAGGCTGCCTATCTTTGTTTTAAACTGTGACCTTTTTTCTTTCTTAGGCTTTTGTCATTTTTTGTGGCCTTGGGATCAACAACACAATAATGTATGATCAAGTAAAGAAGTCCTGGGCCAAGCAATCTGTTGCTCTTGATGTAAGTATATTGGCAATTAAGGGATCATGGATAACATAGGAGATTTGAGAATCATCTTTGTAGAGATGATATTTGAACCTACAGGAGCTGATCAGAGATTTAGAGAGAAGAAAAGGATCCTAGGACAAAGCCCTGGAGGACAACTGTATTAAAGTGGCAGGGGATGAGGGGCAATCTAAGAGTGGTCAGAGATTTTGGAGAAAAACCATTAAAAAACAGTTTGAGAAAACCCAAAGGATATGTGTGGGCAGTTAGGTGGTGTAGTAGATAGAGTGCCAGGCCTGGAGTAGGGGACACAGGAGTTCAAATCTGGCCCCAGATGCTTACTAGCTGTGTGACCTTGGGTAAGTCACTTAACCCTGTTTGCCTCAGTTTCCTCATCTGTAAAATGAGCTGGAGAAGGAAATGGCAAACTGTATCATTATCTTTGCCAAGAAAACCCCAAATGGGGTCATGCAGAGTCAGACGTGATTAAAATGACTGAACAATGAAAGGCTATGAGTGCCTAGGGGCAAGTTCAACAGTGTCAGAAACTGCAGAAAGGTCAAGGAGGATGAAGATTATGAAAATACCATCAGATCAAGCGTTCAAGAGATTGTTCAGAGAGAGCATTTTCAGTTAAGTGGTGGGGCCCATAAGGCAAATTTCAAGGGATTGAATGGTGGTGAGACAGTGGAAGCTGCAAATGTTGGCAATTATTTTTCAGAGTTTGGTGGCAAAAGGGAAGAGAGATTTAGGATAATGACTTGAGGGTATAGCGGAGTCAAGGGAAAGGCTTTTAAGGGGAATGAGGTAGAGGCAAAGAATGAAACATTTGAGATTATAATCAGGAATAAAAAAACATTCAAATGATTTGTAACCATAAATTACTATGTAAATTATGATGATTATACTTACAAAGCATACCATCTTAAACGCATTTTCACTTCTCATGTACCTCTCCACTGCAAAGTAATTGGGATGATCCGTGGCACTTCTGGTTATACTAGGAAGGAGGTCCCAAAAGGGACAAAGCTGCCTCCTGACCTAAGACCTTTTGGACCTCAGGCCTTACAAACACCAGTTAACTTTCACATTTCCTCTATAACCTACAAAGATCTCAATATATACTAATAGTATTTCTCCTTATTTTTAGCTGCTCACTTTTTCATTGCCTAATTTGTATCACTTAGATATACACCAGTTGTAAATACCCTCTTTCTTGTGTAACTCAGTTCTTAAGGTCCGGCAAATTAAAAAAAAAATTAAAAAGAAGGCAAATATGAATGGTTTGGTTCTGTGAACCCAGAAGACAAAAGGAAGTTGCAACTAAATGAAAGGCTGGCTTATAGATTCTCCTTGAAGAAGCAAATAGAGAAGCTGAGAAGTTTGTTATTTTGTGTACCCAAGGGAACTACGAAATATTTTGTAAAACGTGGTCATTTTGAAACCAAATCGTCATATACTTTGACGCATCAATCAAAGGTGGGCCAAAGGTGGGGGGTGGGAAAAAAATAAAAAACGTATTGGGAAATATGGTGCAAGTATGAAAGAGAGACAGAGAGAGAGAGAGAGAGAGAGAGAGAGAGCGCAGTGGCTTGTAAGTACTCAGAAGGCTCATATCTATATATCATGAATTCATTCTTCCGAAAGAGTGTTGGAAGGAGCTCAACATGGCAAGCAGTGATTATCCCCAAATTAAAATTGATTATATCTTAACAACCAGGAAAGGACAGTTTCCTGATGTGGGAATCTTATCAAAAATCAGCTGTCTGTGCAGTCAGACCAGTGACTTGTTAGAATGAAGAACAAGATCAAATTAGAAAGAAAGCTGAATTTGAGAATTCAGTGCAAATAACTGTAATAGCTTCAATCTGACCAAGCCAAATTACCTATTAATGTCTAAAAAGGAGAAATGGAAGAAGGTAAAGACAGTCAAGTTGGAGATGACTCAATTTTGAAAACATTAAAAAATCATTTTATAATATATCTCAGAGGGGGGACAAAAAGAATGGAAAAGTAATGCCATGAATGGAATTATTGTCCCCTCTCCCCCCCACCAAAAAAATGATTAAGAGGATGTCAGTAACTTCTGATTCATTTTTCTACTTTTTCATCCTCCAAAAATCTTCATGAGAATAATTTATGTGTATATGAAGGATTTTTTTGATAAAAATATGAGAAGGGAAATGGTAAGGTTTCTCAGATGATTTTCCATATTAGACTGCATCTTTAGTCACAAAATTAATGGAAAGAGATGGAAATACAAGATATCACTGTGTTCGTTACCAGTGATTAGCAGTGTATTGATTACCCCCCCAAAAAAAGGACTTGACCTAGTATAACAAAATGTTCTAGTAACAAACTCCTCGAAAAGAGTCTCTCATGAATATGTTAAGATTGTACAGGATTTCTTGATAAATGTAACCACAAAGTTTACTGTTCAATAACCCTCTGATAATAAGTGTGAAGAGAGGCATAAAATAAGAAGATATATCCTTGACAAAGGTTTTTGCTGCTGTCATGGAAGGCATCTTTTAAAAAGTACAAATTTAAGAGGTGTTCTATATATATACAGTAAGGTTCTCCAAATGCTACTATGTGTGAATGATAGTGTATCAGTGGAAGGAGGTAGTAGAATATTACATGGCTGCCTCATTAAGAGAGAGAGAGAGAAAGAGAGACAGAGAGAGAGACACAGAGACAGAGAGAGACAAAGACAAGGGGAGAGAGGGAGAGACAGAGAGAAATGAAAACAAAGAGGGGGAGGGGGGAAGACAGAGAGACAGAGAGAGACAAAGAGAGAGACACAGAGAGAGAGGGAGAGACAGAGAGATAAAGACAGAGATAGGAATGGATGGATGGATGGATGGATGGAGAGAGAGAGAGAGAGGGAGAGAGAGAGAGAGAAACAACTAAATAATCCTCACAGTATTATATGAGTTGTATGTAATGATGCAGTTATATGGCACAGTGGATAGAGAACTAGAGAGTTGGATGGACTTAGAATCAGAAAGATCTGAGTTCAAATCCTGCCTCAGATACTAACTAGTAATATGATCCTGGGCAAGTCATTTAACCTATGCCTCGGTTTTCTCATCTGTACATGTGAATAATAATAGCACCCTATCTTCCAGATTGTTGTGAGGATCAAATGTATTTATAGAGTGCTTTGCAAACCTTAAAGCACTATATAAATGCTGGTTATGAAGGAAGGAAGGAAGGAAGAAAGGAAGGAAGGAAAAATAAAGGAAAGAAAAAGGAAGGAAGGAGGAGGAGGGAGGGGAAAAGAAAGGAAGGAAGGAAAGGAAAGAAGGAAGGAAGGAAGGAAAGGAGAGAGAGAACATTTATTAAGTACCTCCTATGTGCCACTCACTGTGCTAAAATCTAAATGGACAAAAAATTCTTATTGTTCAGATTATAATGTAATCAGAAGACCAATGTGTTGAATTAGTTTAATGGTACAAATATTGGGGAGAAATACTGCAGAGAGACAATGAGGTGGGTGCTAAATTTAATAGGGAGATAAGAACAGACTAGATTTCATTTAGAAAATTGTACAGTGCTTTCATTGCTCCAAGCTGTCTCCTAGCAAACAAACAAAACCCACCTAAATCTTTTTGGCACCAATAGTTTTCCCCATGATATTCTGCAGTGTTGCATCTTGTAACACCACAGTTTCCAGATAATTAAAATTGGGGGTAATCCAAAGTTCAGTGGAGCGACTCCTAGTGGGTACAAATAAACTGCTGACTGGCCCAAACCAAGACCTCTATATGGTAAGTGGCAGAAGGGGTATCTATTACCAATAAAAGTGGAATAGAAAAGGGAGGCATGCCTGTCACCCACCCAGAGGATGTGAGGATGCTGGATGGATAGCCCAAGCACTGCACTGGGGGCTCCCTCCCCCAAACATTAAAAAAAGAAAGACTTAGTAGGAAAAGGCCTCTAGCACACTGGGAGAATATGGGCAAAAATCAGACAGGACGAAAAGGTAGGTTAATTGTAGGGATGTTCTGGAACCAGCTTATAAGAAACAATTGTCAAATTTTCAATGTGTGTATTTACACTTTAGAAATCAGTAATCACTTCAAATCAGGACTTGATTTATTGTTTTGTAGATTACCTAAATTTAATAGTGTTAATAATGCAGATTAATCTTAAAAGTGTATGTACATACACTTGTTCCCCCTTGTTAAACATTTACCAGCACACCCCCATATTGCTCCATAAACACTGCTTGAGCTCAGCAAGAGTACAGTACAAGGACCAGAGAATGAAGCCATTACCAGACTGGAGGTCCAGTGACTGTAGGATGATAATGATGATGATGAAGAAGAAGATGATGATGATAATGATAACTGACATTTATATAGCACTTTAAGGTTTACATCCTTTATCTCGTTATACTTCATAATACCCCTGGGTGATTGTGATCTTTACAAATGGAAGGATGACTGCTCACTTCAATAAGATCAAAGATCCATGAAAGTACTGATGAAAAATAAGATGAATCTGCTGTCCTTGGCACCTGGAACGACCACTGTTAGGATTAGAGAAGAGCATGAAGACCTAGAAGGGTATTTTACATGATTATTGCCAAGGTAGCCTGTTGTTTATTGTCTTCCAATGATACCAATTAAAATTTTCTTAGAAGTAGGGAGATTATGTATGAAAGGATATGCAATTTTATGGTGTAAGTGAGAAAAAAACAGAAGGATAAAAAAGACATCCAATCAGTTGCCAGATTCAATTGATGCTACTGCCAACCTAGTTCTCAAACACATTACTCACTTTCTTTCCATTCCCATTTTTATCATCTCAGTTCAGACTTCCATTATTTATCATCTGCTACTTTCATACTGGTGCTGCTAGGTGGCTCAGTGTATAGAGTGCCAGGCCTGTAGTCAGGAAGATTTGTCTTCTTGAGTCCAAATCTGACCTCAGACACTTACTAGCTGTGTGACTCTGGGCAAGTCACTTAACCCTGTTTGTCTCAGTTTCCTCATCTGTAAAATGAG